AAAATACACTTTTTCACACAATGGTAAACTTCTTGTAAGTACGCTGCAAAATGTGGTTTGAAAAAAGGAAATCTAAGGCACAATCTAAATAGAGAAATCTGGTAAAATACTAGTGGAATCTTGCTATTCCATTACCACTATTCTTTTTTCTTTACTTCCTGGTCTGTAATATCTTGTCACTTCTTGCATAAGAAGTATAATGTTTTTGTTGCCTAATCAAGCACTGATAGAACTAGAAGAGTACATGCCGGTACTGAGAAGAATTCTGCTGTTCCAAAACCACCATATAAACTACTTTTGCCTGTAAATACTTGCTGTTCAAGAATAATTTGCTTTTTTAAAATACCACAATTAAAAGTTTTAGGTTGTGATTCTTTTTTCTTTCTTTTTAATTTGCTTGGGTCATTTGGGTTTGGATATTTTTTACTCTGAATGATGGAAGAAGGAAGAGGAGCTGGTGTTTGAGGAGAGCAGAAACAACAAAAGGCAAAAGATTTTACTTCCAAAGAAAATAGTGCTCTTGAAAACATGAGAACAAATGTTTCAATTAACTTCATTTTTTTCTCTCTTTTTGAGCCAGCCGTGGATGCTAATAGTAACCTGGATTCTTTGTGTCACTTTGGTTTCCCGTAATCAACTGTAACTGCGATGTCCTTGAATTAATAATAATCTCATCGTTTAAGACCACTCACTTCCTTGGTTTGGTTTTTAAGTAGCAGCACTGCACCTTACTGCAGCATTGCACATTGTATTGTTATTCAGAAAGAAAAACAGTGGTCCATGAAAAATTCCTGCCAGCAATGCCCCATTGCTCACAGAAATAGCCCCAGCTGCATGTGCTGGAGCTCATTCTGCCACCTTTGCCTCCCGCTTCCCTGATCCCCCCCTTGGCAGAAGTCCATAGATGCCATGGAAGCTCTGCTTCTGGTATGGCTCGTGATGGAGCCTGTAACTCACCAGTTTACATTTATTGCCATATGCAACATACAAAATGCCATGAATCAGCCTGTTCAGCATAATGCCAGACTATGCTTATTTTGTCGAATGCAGTATGGCAGGAAGGTAGCAAACATCAGATTCAGTGCTGCTCTCTTTAGTGGTAGGACTCAGGGTAGGGCCAAATCCTGCACTGCATCTGCACCTCTTGCCTGCTTTACTTGAAGTGTTTCAGGTACTCTCAGGTGCTTCAGATCTATTGAACTATTTGACTTTTGAAAGAGAGAAACAGTAGCCATATAATAGTCAACATAACTGCCAGTAAGAGGGATAGATAATACAAACTAATTGAAAGAGCTTCTGCAAGAAGCCTGCCTCTTCCCTTCACTGTGTGAATGGGTGACTCTTTTCCTGAAAGTCTGCCATGCCTGCCAGCACCTGGGTCTCCACACTGCAAAGAAACCTCCTGTTGCCTACTTCTGAGTCCTAGACGAGTCCTCTGCTCTCCATCACCTCTGAAGTTTCATTCTGGGTTGCCTTCATGATGTGAGCATGTCCTTCATCCTTTTCTGTGCTGTTTTTGCCTGGTTTTCTGTGTGGTCCAGCAGCTTTCCCCAGTTTAAGGGCACTTTGTCTGTGTCCCTAGCAAGATGCACACCCTCTCCTTTGAGCTCCTTACTGAGCTTGCTGGTTACAGCAGCCAGGGTGAGGAAGATGGGGAGCTTTGCACACTGCTCTGCTCCAGGTTAAGAGGAAGAGCAAGGTATTTTCTGCAGTACATGACCACCAAACTGGAGACAAAGAGTTAATTACTATACCCTGCTCCATCTTCTGAAGTTAGTTCACAGTGGTGCCTCTTGCAGTATGGAAGCTCTGACTTAATTCACACATACCTGTGCTATTTGTTTTTATACAGGAGGAGAGTGGCACTGACTGAATCAGTGAAATTTTGGTATTATCCATAACTTAGTATCTGCTAAACTAAACCTTACGAAGCTGGAAGTGTTTGTTTTTAAGCTTATTTTAAATTAAAGATTTGTATTTAGTTATGTTGAATTACAGAAATAAATAAGACTGAATTGTTCTAGCGATCCCCAGTGCCTAACTTAAAGTAGAATATCTCCAGCTGCCTTAACACTGCTGAAAACAAATGAAAATTAGTTTCACGAACACCGTGTTATCCCAACACAACAGAGTTTAAATTTTTGCCAGGAAGAAACAGTAATTTGTTTTCAAGAGCCGTTAGCATACAGAAGTACAAAAACAAACCACTTCTCTTCTGGGTGAGCTGCGAGCTCCTCAGAAGGTTTGGTCTCTCCTTCAGACTGAAATCTCAAAAAACGTTAATGAGAAAAGCTATCCATCTTCTCCCCATTAGACAAGATAGGACTGCTTGTAGTCCCTAGATTCTGAAAAAGAACTTGTGTGTTTTCATGATCACGCTGACTGATCTCAATGTATCTTGTAGTTTGTACTCTTGGTTTAGACTTAGTTATTTACAGGTGAGCATCCACAGTTCTATTCCACATTTGCTTGACAAATGCGGACTTCTTTAAATATCTATCTCACTGCCTCTCTGCAATGACTTAGTACTTATTGAAATGTATGTATGTTTTAATTGTTTATTACTGCTTGTAAAGGTGCAAAATGAGAACTGCTATACAGTAGTTAGTGAACTTAAACCATATGCTCCAAACTTTTTACTGAAAATATCTTTCAATGCTTTGGGTAAGTTTCTGAAAGTGCATGGAAGTGTTTGGGCTCAGTGGTGCAGGGAACTCATGTCTGTGATTCTAGCTGGCTATGTGAATCCCCTAGCAAGCCATAGTAATATGAAACGAACACTTGAAGGCCAGATGCAGTTGAAAACTTAAACATATTGAGTTCATAGCATGTGATAGTTTAATCATTATTTAAGCTTTAGAAATGTCACAGCATAATTTCAGAATGAGTACAAACACTTCCATGCACAAAAACTGCTTTCTTGATGCTACTTTTGCCCTTCCTGGGACAGTTACTCTCTTGTGAATTTTCTGAATTTAATCCTCACTTGATCACAGGCAAATACTCAGTAAAAATTCAAAATCCAAAATGTTAAAATAAAGCCTGCAAATACATTTATAAACTAAGCCTGTTTTTTCTTTATGCTCTAAAAAAAAAAAAAAATTAAAAAACCTGAAAATTTTTCTTTCATTAAAGGCAAAATTTGCAACAAAACTGGTTAAACGGAAAATGCTTAGTCAATCCTATTTGCAGAGTCAGGGAATGGAATCTTGGATTTATAAGCACCCATGAAGGATTAAATTCAACTCTCCTATGCATGTGATACATTCTTAATACCCTCACAGCATACATGGAGCCCTGTCTCCTTCTGTACTTGTAAGGAAAATACAAGGACCAGAACTTTCTGAATTTGTCCTGTATTCAGAAAATTCTGATGAATGCAATTGACTTTGCAGCATAAATTGAGTTGATATGTAAAATAGTGTTGTAACCCCAGTCTACATTTAGAAAGAACACTTCCACTTTACATAGCCTACTATGATTTGTTTGTAATAGGAACAGTTCAGGTTGGGTTTTGGAAAATATCAGTTATAATGATTCTGCCATTTCTGAGAAACAGGCTAGGGATAAAAATGCTCTCCATATTAATTTTTGGGGGCATGTTGTTTGCACATTTTCTAAGTGGGATGTTTTTGGACCAGCTGTACATCCTCATAGCAAAGACTTTAAGGTCATAAAATTTGGCCTTTGTATAAGGAATGTACTGGGAGTTATTTCTGGTAAAATTCATTGGAATTGTGCCATTGTGGGTGTTTTTTTAAACTGAACTTTTCACATGTTCTGTAGGAGCAAAATCAGCATAATCATTTCACATTCCTTAAGGTTTGTGTCACCTTCTATGCTCTCATGAGCTCGTTAGCGCTAACCAGAAGATGAACCTGTCATTCCTTTAGAGCCACTGAATATGTTACAGATGATAGCTGTTGGGTTGAAGGTAGAGTTCTTTGCAACTCATGAAACGGCCAAGGCATTTCTTTTGTCTCCTCTTGTATTTCACTTACTAGTTCTGGACACCATGGAAGAGTAAGCTAGTTTATTGAAAATTAGAAGTAAAGGCTAGGGAAGGATTAGGTGGGTATTCTCTATTGTGGCTTTTCATGCATGGAGACAGAACGAGTTCACAATTAAAAGTGTTTGTTAGAGGTCTAAATCATGCAACAGTGCGGTGCAGGAAGAACCTTTTCTTGTCTGATACATGCTCTTGGAGCAAAAAATGGGGAATTACTATGGGTATAAGCTTAATCACTGGAAAATGAACCCAGTGTACATTAGAACATGCTTTAGTTTCACGGAACAACTAATTAACTGTCAAAGGTGGCACTGTTAGTGCTCCTGACATGCTGTTCAGTCTGGCAGCCCCAGTTTAAACTCGCTGCCTGCACTTGGCTCTCCTGGCATACAGTGCTGTGATGGGGAAGATAAGACAGGCTGACAAAACAGTCATCAAAGATTCACTCACATCAGGGTGAGTCCTACAGAATGTGAGGAGCTATTAATATTTTAAAGGGTGCCATCCATCCCTATAGGCACCAAAGTATTACATCACTGTGTGTACAGGACAGAATGGCAGTAATGAATAGATCTGATGTGCTGAGAGCCCAGGGAGGAACAAGTTAGCATTTCTCATGCAGAACAACTGGATATAATTAAGTGAAATAAACAAAGCTTATCCTTAGGGCAAAAAAATACCTCATTGACTATTCTGAGCTGCAGAGCAAGTCTGTATCAAATAGCGTGGTTGGGTTTGTTCAGGCTTAAAATTTCTTCACCAGTCAAAACCGTATGTTTTTTGCAAAGAAATGTGATCTGTAGCTTGAACACAATAATAATGATGACTGAGTGATAAACAGTTTGATGTACGTCACTTTTATTACCAAAAAGCCAAACTCTGAAAAGCTGAAGCCATGTACATCTGGTAATTTAGAGGCTCCCTTGAAAGAGAACACAGGTACGCGCTTTCACTGAGACTTTCTGACTGCTCTCAAATCCTGTTCCCACAGGGCCCAGCCTCCTCTCCCAGAGTGCGCTCCAGCTCAACTCCAAACCCGAAGGGTCCTTCCAGTACTCAGCCAGCTACCACAGCAACCAGACCCTCGCCCTGGGCGAAACAGCGGCTGCCCAGCTCCCGGCCCGTGGCAGTCAGGCCAGAGGTGCCATACAGAGCTACAGCCAGGTACGTGTCCTAAGCAGCCTGGGTCTCTTGCACCTTGAATTGTGTAGGATATCTTCAAGGAAGCAGAGCTCATTGGTGCCCACCAGCATATGAATTGTTTGTCTTGTTCAGTGCATCCGCAGCAGAATGAATATCACCTTGATTTTCATAACTCTAAAATGGATTGACTTGCATAGTAATAAAATAATCGTGATTGAAAAGGAGGTTTACATGGCAGTTCCTTGCCTGCATATACATGTTGGTGATAGCATGTTTAGGCACTTAAGTTTGAAAATTTCTGTGACTGCTGATTAGGAACCCTAATTAAGGTCTAGGACCTCCCTGCATCAGTATGAAGATATTACTGAAAGCAGGAAGTGCCAGCAAACAAAAACAAAGCCAGGCTTAGATGAGATGCAAAACCTGCTTGGGATACTATGCATCAGCTGGTGCCATGGCCTAATCCCAAGTCTGAGAATCATTTTTTGCCTTTTTTCCTATCATATTTTAAGACAAGCAACCTAACAGACAGCCGCCTCTATGTTTCAGACATCTTGAAAGACTGTTTCAGGTACTCATGAAAACTTTATAAATCTGGTTTCCTGTCTAAAGGATCCCTCCTGGATCTGACACACAACCCTCTCACTCTTCTGTGCTTTTCACTGTTACATCAGTTTCTCACTGAGAAGTTAAATTTCAGTTTAGACAAAAATTTGTGAAAGTGTACCTACATATGCAAGTCTGACTTACTTTCAAGTCGTGTTGTTTTCTCTATTTAGATGTAACCACCCCAGCAAAGCAGACACTGCTCAGTGTGACACAGGGACACTTTATAATTCAGGATTCTGTAGAAGTGAGTAGCATCTGAATTTTGAAACCTTAAATTGCTAAGAGAATTCAAGTATTATATAGTCATTTCACAGTTTGCGGGATACCAAGAGATATGCAATATTCTATTCTCTCAATTTGCTTAGAAAAGCTCCCTATCCTCTTAAGATTGAAAAATGAAATAAAGCATGGTTAAATTTCATTTCAAATTGGGTAGGTACTTTTTTTCGTTTTATAAAGCCAACCATATGCTGGGCTGCACCTAAAGGAGCATGACCAACATGTCGAAGGAGGTGATTCTGCCCCTGTATTCCACTCTCATGAGACCCCACATGTAGTACTGCGGTCAGCTCTAAGGGCCCCAACAAAAGAGGGTCATGGACGTGTTGGAGTGAGTCCAGAGGAAGACCGTGAAGATGGGGGACAGTTGGACCTGATGATCTTGAAGGTCTTTTCCAGCCTGGTTGATTCCATGACTCCATGATCAGAGGGCTGGAGCACCTCTCCTGTGAAGACAGGCTGAGAGAGTTGGGCTTGTTCAGCCTGAAGAGAAGGGTCCAGGGAGACCTTATGGCAGCCTTCCAGTACCTAAAGGGGGGCTACAAGAAATCTGGAGAGGGACTTTTCAGAAGGGCATGTAGTGATAAGACAAGGGGAATGGCTTTACACTTTTAAAAGAGGGTAGATTTAGATTCGATACAAAGAAGGAATTCTTCACTCTGTGAGGTTGGTGAGGCACTGGCACAGGTTAACCAGAGAAGCTGTGGCTAACCCTTCCCTGGCAGTCTTCAAGGCCAGGTTGGACAGGCTTTTGAGCAACCTGGTCTAGTGGAAAGTATCCCTGTCTATGACAGGGGGGGTTGGAACCAGATGATCTTAAAGGTCCCTTCCGACCCAGACCATTCTGTCATTGTATAATAAAGGGTTTAAGGTGAGCCTGCACAGATTGGAGCCAGCAGGAGAGCAGGATTCCAGCTAGAAAGAAAAAGGAGACTCTAATATCCAGTTCTAGCCTAGGCAGATGTCATCACGAGTTGTGTTTTGTGAAAAGCATCATACCTTAGGGGTTAGCCTGAAAGAGTATGATTCATTCTTCAAGGAGGCTAGAAAAAGTAAGATGATGGAAAAGGAACAGTTATGGGAACAGAGCAACAGAAACAAAAACAAAGGAGAAATGAGAGGGGAAGGAAAAAAGAATTTTTTGTGGTTTTTTGTTTGGTTTTTTTTGAAAGGCAGGAAGGTATCTCAGGTGTGAGATTGTCTGGCAGTTAGAAGTAACAATATTCTTAATGTAACTTTATCCTACTGATAGAAAAGGCTGAATTTATGAAGGGGAAAATTAATTATCTAGATTTCTTTCATTGAAATCACAGTGAACAGCCATTGCTTACAGCTGAAAACCTCTCATGAACCATCTACTTTGCAGAAAAATGGTTACCTTCAGAAAAGTAACTAGTACGTTTTCTTGGTGTGAGTAGGCAGGAAATAGGTTTTCTTCCTCTGCTCCTCCAGATTGTATGGTAGATGTTACTGCAGGAAAGTAACTCAGCATAATTTTTCATACCATCATCCTGCAAAGGGTGCTTGACAATTAACAACTCTGGGTCAATTAAAATATATCTTGGAAATATCAATTAACTGCCATCTAAACTATGAATTAATAGATAAAAAGCATAAAAGGTGGTTTCAAAAGAGGTAAACAAGAAGAGTAAAAAGTCAAAAATTAAAATTAAAAAGTTCTGAATATGACCATTGCTGGTCCCACAATTAAGGAGAAAAAGTGTCAATACTTGGAATCATTTTGCTATCCCTATTATAATCAAAATAAGCCTCAGGAGTCAAAACTTCTCAGATTGTGATAATTTCCTTTGGTATTTGTGTGCAAGGAATATAGCTATCTCTGAACATGAATGATAGCCCAAATGCATGGGAAAAAAATGTAAATAGTCCCAAGGCCAGCTGTGACAGCAAGAACAATTTCTGAAAATGCAATTGTATAGAAAAGAGAAACTAATTAGCCTTGGGACTTCCTGCATAGTGCTGGAAAGTGCAATCTAACATTTTTGTCAATTTGGAGGACTTCATTATAGATCACAGAGTTTTGCTACTGCTTTGAGTACTTTAGAACACGGAACTTTTATCTTCTAAATGCTACTGGAATAGGAGTTTTTAGCAACAACTGCTTCTCTGGCAGGGAATCACTCTGTTTCCCACTTAAACCAGCTCTTCAAACTTAGTGTCTATATCCTGATGCATCCTGTATCAGTCAAATAAGGTTATTTGTGAAGAATCAGTAGTACTACAAAATGTAGCAGATTTTGCAGATGAATTGCTCAAATGTGAGTCTTCTATTTGAATAATGCCATTTGTGAGCAACTAATGGATTGAGTCTACTGTCATGTGGAGAATGGTCAGCTTATGTTATAGATTTTGTAGGAATATAAAGCATAGCATGCACTCCAGATAGTGTTTTTCCACATGCTTTACCATGTAATTGCAAGGGGAGGGGAAAGGAAGTGAAACTAGTTTATGTTTCTGGATGGTAACTTTCTTAGCCTGTAGTGAGAGGCTGGGGCAGTAACAGAGGTAGAACCTTACTGCATATTATCCTATTCCTGAAGCTTCTGGACTGATCAAGCTGGCACAGAATTTGAAAACCCTTAAAAATAAAAAGTAGATGGAAAGCAAAGGTAATAATAATTAAAAAAAAAGCCTTCAAAAATCATGTAATGGTTAATTTTCTAACTTGTTTCCCTTTTCCTACAAACAAGTCCTAAGTTTGTCATTCACCAGACTGCCACACCTTACTAGCTCTATTTAGAATATTACCAAATGAGTGCAAGTACATGTTCAGTTGTCAAGCAAAAACTCTATTCTGGCCTTTTTCAGTTATGACTCTTGGCTCTTCCTGCCATCAGCCATCTGTGCCACAGGGTGATAGGCTGCTTGATAATCTACCCAGACAAAATCTAAAATGAGGACTTCGCTTCTGGTAGGATGTAGCAGATTATGATGTGTTTGAAACTGGATTCCAAATACGAACATGAGAATTCTTCTGTCATGAAAGGAAGCAGATGAAATCTTAGGACAAATTGCTCTTATTATGACACTCACAGAGAACAATTCACTAGTATGGCTTATGGTAGTGAAGAACTGGTCAGCATAATGCTGGTTTGATACAACAATAGGTAATTAATGATTGCAGCTTTCGTTGCTGCTTTAAAACCAGAGACTGACCATCTGTTGACACTCTGAAAGGATCTCACATGACTCTGTTTGTGGCTGTAAGACTACAATGGTATTACCTACCTTCATATGAGATTAGGATCAGGTAGGCTGATGAATTTTCCTCATAGTGTTGGGGTGTATTTTGCAAAGACATTATAGCCATGGCCTTTGTGCTAAAACCAGAAAAAACAGATGGAATAGGCCACAGTGGAGGGAGGCAGAGGTATAGTCTGGCATCTATTTTCATGTAACTGTATTTGAACATAGGTAGCATCTTCCTAGTGAAGTCAGGAACTTATAAATGACAGCAAAGCAGTCCTGCAGAAAAAAGACAAGTGCTACCAAGGACTGAAGTCTGTATCCCCAGGACTAGAGAATGTTAAGCATTTTCATCTGCCCTTTGTAGAAGAGTGTTGATGTAGGCATTGGACAAGAGCAGAGTGATACTTTCAGTGAAACCATATGGAATATTCTTGGGGCTGACAGAAGAAAATAAGCCCTCAACAGAGTGGCAAGTCTTGCAGTCACTGAAAATAGCACAGAGCATGACTGAGATTGTGCAACAGATCTGGACCCTTCAATGAACACCTGTGACTCTCGAAAACCCTATTAAGGATGACCAAGTTTGCTCCCAAATCCAATAAGACCCACCAATATTCAAGAAGCCAAAGCAGCCTGGAGGCTTGTCTTCCACACAACTTCAGCATCCATTGGAAAATCCTCCCTCAAATCAAGAGAATGGGTCTTCTCATTGGCCACAATATACTCCATATGACTATGTTCATATTCAACAGATATGACATTTTTTGGGATTTTAAGGACCAAACAATCCCTGAAGTTAGAAAAAGCAAAACAAGCTGCAAGCTGGTTCTGGCATTTAATGCTAAACTAAAAATGCTTGTGAATACAAGTTCATCCAGACATAAGATGTCCATACAGATTTATTCAAATGTAACACAACTTTCCAGTTTCTTCTGCCAGAGAAGTATACAGGACATTGAGCACAAATTGTCATTTCTTTAGGGTAACTGGTATCATGATTCAAACTCTCCAGCATTTTACTGGAAATTATATCATTAACTCATTCCCAAGAAATTACTCTGAAGCCATTTCTGTTCTTAGTTCTGTTGATAAGACTCAGGGTTGCATTAACAGAAGCTCTTTTCCTTAGCACCTTCATTGAATTATGAAGCATAGATGCACAAAACCTACCAGGTTGTGTGTGCCTAAGAAGGAAGAGTCTGAAGGGATTTTAGATGACTTAGCAAATAGATCTGCTGCACTAACATATTCATAATGGTCATCTTGTTGTTGACCAGGACTTCTGTTACTCAGGTTTTGCTGGTCTTACACACCATTATCCCTCTGGGAGCAATCTCCAAGAATTGACATGCCGATGTGTCAGTAATTAGCAGCTGACCCCAAAGTTTTGCTGAAGCCGTCAAGCCATCTAGGATTTCATAAATCCTTACCCATGCAAAATTTACATCAGAATAAATAATTCAGCACAGTTCTTTGCCCCTCTTAATTCCATGTCATAAAACAGAAATCTTGTTTGCGGTCATTCCATTTATTTTTTGTTAAAGTTCTGATTTAATTTTTTAAGTGGAATTGTAAAAAAAAAAAAAAAAAGAAAACAAAAGAAACCACAACAAAAACTATCCTGAAATTTTGTGCATTAAATGCATGAATTAAGGTAAGCAAACAGCTGTTAGACTGTTCTCTAGCCTATTATAACCTGACTGGACACCTTCAATAATTTTCTGTACATCTCATTTTGTCCTTATCTGCAGAGGATGATCTTTCTCATCAGATTAAATGGGAAAGAAGGTATTTGCACAGGTGTATTGAAGTTCTTATGGCTTTTTTCAGACATTTCTGCTGTTAAAAAGAATATATCAGAATCCATCTACTAGCTTCAAATAAGCAAATCAAGCTGCTTCTCTTTTGAATATCAGAAAAATTATATCTCTGAGTCTTGGAATAGGTACTTACAGGCTGTAATAAGAAAGTCCTTGATCTTTTTTCACATCTATGAAATAGGTTGATGTGGGAGGATATAACAACTAGAAAGCATATCTGATCTCAGTTTATTAGTTTAAACACAGTTTCGTTATCATGTTAACAGCAATAATGGCAAAATAAAGGAAAAATACCATTGTATTTCATTCTTCCACATGAAATACAATGTCACATTGCAGGATGAACAGCGGCATGTCTGCATGGTTGTCTTAAGTGACAGGGAGAAACTGAACCACATTTTGTCTCTGAAGACATGAGTGAAGAATGCATCTGTACACTTGGCCCTTTAAAAAAACAGAAGAACCTCACAGTAAATTTAAGACAGGTCTGAGATTAGTCACATCCTAGAAAATACTGTGCGCAAATGTTTTCACTGCAATCTGTTCACCCAAAAGTTCTCTCCTTCACACAGAGAAAATGCTTTGCTTTTTAGGAAGTGCTATACACTGTGGTTTTAATTAAGCATTTAATACTCGTGTCCCACCACTAGACCTTCTTCCCTGTAACAATCATGAAAAGGGATTATTTTTTTAATTGGTACTTGCAAAGAGCCTGCAGCTTTATAGATTTATTAGGAACATGGGATAATATTGGTTTACCTGAAATTAATTACTCTGAATCCTTGACACATCAAGCAGTGTAGATTAGAAATTTTGTCTGCATGATGACAGCTCTTGCTTAAAATCATTACCATCACTGACAAACTAAGTTACCAGTACATTAGCAGTGTGTTGCAGAAGACTGTATTTTGCAACAGTATCGAATACTACAAAATACAAATTGTTATGCCACTTAGCAGTCCAAAAAGTAAAATGTATTAATAGATATCAATTTGTAATTTAAATGGTTCAAACAACCTTTCATCACTTGCAAAAATTCCTCTGTCCACGTTGTCTGCCATCTTGCCAGCCTGATTTTGTTTTGTGAAAGTTGTTACCATACAGTTTAAACCTGGAAAATGAAAACTCTGCTCCTGTCAAATACATTACTGGACAGTCAGTTGCAGATTAGCCCTTCTTTCCAGTTTAAAGCAGAGACGGTAAGTAGCTCAGCATGAAAGTAGCTTTTAAAATTGATGTTTCCCAGAGTTTGCCTTCCTGGTTTTTGTAAAAATTCTTTCAAGTGAGAATCTCGAGCTCGTTGGCCATTTATGACAATTTTAAAGCTCTTACTTGATGCTGTGGTGTTTGTAACTCATGGCCGCAATCTAAAACAGTCCACCTCAACAGCACTCAGGCCACTTGCATCTGTGATCACCTTGCCCACTCAGGACTTACCGTACAGAGCAGATGGAGGGAACAGCTTATATTTATCTAAAAGGCTGTTGCTCTTCAGGGCAAACAACGTCCCAAAGCCAAGGAGGTTTGGGTCTGGCCTTGCTCCCTTGAGACACCTCTATGCTGCAAGTGCTGGGTGCTGCCATGCTACTAACAACTGGGAGCAAAGCACCAGAAGCTCCATCTCCGAAGCCATGCTTTTTCTCCAGGTCTAGAAAAACATGTTTTCTTTACTCAGGTGCAAAGTATTTAGGATGAGGGGTTGGGCTCCAAAAGTACAAAAAAGAAAAGGACAGAAAAATTTCCAGTAGTCATGCATAGGAAGAACATATTTCTGGCCTTTTGAAGCTCATTTTGTTCTGATTGGCCATTTATCTTGGCCTCAGTTCCTGACCAAATCCCTTATTTGGTATCCTAGTAGAAATAAGTTCCATACCCAGAACATGGTGCTTTTGTTTACTGTTTACTTGTTTTGTTGTTTTTTTTCCCTATAGGATGCTACTAGAAAAGCCGTTGCTATTTAAATGTGAAACAACGCTGCTGTTGTTGTATCACACCTCTTTGAACTGAATCACAAAATTCATTACTCAGATTTTAAAGGATTTTCTCGCTAAGGAAATCAGTAGCCCGGAGGTGTGTGTTTGGGTGAAGCACTGGTCAGACTGACTCAGGCTGCACTATCTGTTCCCAGGATCTGGGAGTGCTTTCAGAGATTTCAAGTAAATCCCCTGCATAACTAGGAAAAAAATAGTATCTGAAACGAGAGTGCATCTTCTAACAGAGCGCTGAGCTCCCGCTCACTGCGGGGCGCAGTTATTAGAGGATTTTAATGTTTCCAGTCTCACAGAAGATCCCTTGAGCCCATGATCCCGATAAAAAAGGGAGAGCCTCCTGTGTGTAAGGGTGAGCCCCGTCCTTCGCTGCTCCAGAAGCGGCTCAGGAACGCTCAGGAACGCAGCTGGAACGTCTAATGGGCAGCATCATCTGCCAACGATTTTCGCTCTCCACTCCCCAACACCCTCCCCGTTACTGGGCGTACGGTGAACTTTGCGAAGCCCTGCCCCCCTCTGCCGGTGCCGAGGCCAGCGGAGCAGAGCGCTCCCGTCATCCCGGGGCAGATTCCCCGCTGGATGCGGCCCGGGAGGTGCCTGGTGCAGCCCAGCCCAGCCCAGCCCTGGATGCGCCTCCCGTGCTCTCCTTCGGGCAGCGCAAATAAACGCTGTGCCCCCGTTTCAACAGGGTGGTACCGGGCCGAGGCGAGAGTCGAGGTGCTGCCACCGGGTGAGGGGGGCTAGGGGGAAGCGGTCGCGCATTGTCGCGCCGCCGGCAGCGGCGACACCCGAGGGCGCCGGCTGTGTCCGTGTGGGTTCGGCGCGGTGCCTCTTCCTCCCACGGACACCGATGGCTTTCTGTGAGGAAAATCACCCCATCTAAGCCCTCTCCGTGGCTCCAGACGCTTTCTACCAATGTATGCAGAATAAAAGTTGGGGGGCATTTGTTTATTTATCTATTTAAGCTCCGGCTCACCTACGCCTGGTGTAGGGATTGATAGGTGTGCGGGTGCGTTTCAGAGCACGAGTTCCCCCGAGCCGTGTGCCCGACAACGAGGTGCCGATTTCAGCCGCGACGAAGAGTTTTCACACCGCTCCGCGCGAGCTGGCAGCCGTTTTTATCTCAAAGGCTGGAAACGCTTTAGCAGAGTAACGACTCCCTTAATCCCGAGAGCGCCGGGTGCCGGCCCAGTTTTAGTTCAAAGAGAGGGCTGCGCTCGGCTGGGGACTCCTCCGGTGAGCGAGTCCCTCGCCCCGCCCCGGGCAGGGAGGGCCGGTGGAGCCAGGCCCGCTGCCGCCCGTCCCCTGCTGACGCCTCTGCCTTTCCTTCCCGCAGCAGGGCCCGGGGGGCCGCGGCGCCCACCCGGGCGGCCCGGAGCCGCCGCCGCCGCCCGCCGCCCCGCAGCCGCGGGAGCCCTTCGCGCCCAGCCACGGCAGCGCCTTCCACCTGCCCGAGCCCCAGCACGCCGCCGCGCTCTACTACGCCAGCTCCACGCTGCCGGCGCAGCGGGTGAGCTCCCCGCTGCCCGCCCAGCCCGGCGGCTCCCCCACCAAGCTGCCGCGGGCCGGCTCCGCCGCCGAGGGCGCCGCCTACGCCGCCGCGCAGCGCCTCTCCTCCCCGAAGCAGTCCCCCAGCCGCCTGGCCAAGTCCTACAGCACCAGCTCGCCCATCAACATCGTCGTCTCCTCGGCGGGACTGTCGCCGTCCCCCATCCGAGTGACCTCCCCGCCCACCGTCCAGTCTAACATTTCCTCCTCTCCTATCCACCAGTTAAGCTCCACCATCGGCACTTACGCCACCCTGTCGCCTACCAAGCGGCTGGTTCACGCTGCCGATCAGTACAGCAAGCACTCCCAGGAGCTGTACGCCACCGCCACCCTGCAGAGACCCGGCTCCCTCGCAGGTAAATCGCGGCCGGCAGCGCTTCGGGGGAGAGAAAGTGGGATGCACGGTGCCGCCGCACCCGCGGATGATGGGGGAATGGGGGAGATAGCGGCCCCGGTGTGTCCCGGGGCTGCCGGCCGAGGAGGGAACGGATCGGGGTGGGTTTGACAGAGGTCTGGGGAACTGAGTGTTTCATCCCTGCTGCGGTGAGTGGGGAGAAGCAGGCTGCCTCCCGGCTGCTTCAAGAAACTACCTCGCTTCTCCCGGCGCAACCCGGTGTAGGGCAAGGGTGGCGGTGTCGAGAGGGTGCGGGGCGGGCAGCGCTGGGCGCTGAGCTCCTTCCTCTTGCCCACGGATCGGGTGGGGAGTGTGTTACTATGGTGAATCCCTTCTCTGCCGCGATTAAAAACTGGGGGCCTTTGCAGATAATTCGTTCTTCCCCGGGTTTACAGGCGGTTCTAGGGAATTTGACAAGTTTGGGGTTACTCAGCAGTAACTCCCGTATACCAAGTTGTGCCGAGTAATAGGTAGTGGTTATTTGGCTCCGAGTGCTCTTTAGGGAATAGGCTGTATTTAATATCTCTGTCATAGCAGACTTTGAACAGATCCTAGAAGTGAGATACTGGTGCGCTGTTCCTAAACCATCTCTGCTAAACTGAGCATCCTTCAGGGGTGGGTTTTTGTGTTCTGAAAATTCCCAGTTTCATTGCTATAGTAACAGCTGCTATGCTCATATGTTCTCTTGTGTGACATAAATAGAATTGAAGATAAATAGGATACATAAAGAGGTTTGGCTTTGTATACCAGGCAGGTACACAAGTTTCTTACTGGAAACCTCATTCCCCCCTGTCCTCTCATCCATCTCTTCTCCCCTCCTCCAGCAGCTGTTGGCATTCTATATAAATAATTCCTGTGTGTTCAAATATACAGATTAAATCAAGTGATAATAAAATAGAGTATTAATGCATCTCCTTGTAGGAGCTATTTGATGGGGGTTTTCTTGTTTATACGCTGGGGATTTAAAAACTTTTCTTGTTGCTGTTTACATAACACTATTTCTGAAGTTCAGAATTTGAAGAGAGAATATCACTAAATGTTGCCAAAATCTAGATCTCAGGACACATCAATCTTGTTGTCAAATATTCAGGCTTAATTACAAAGTGGTTTATTTAGCAAATATATTAGTATAACTTCTCCCCTCTGTAGTCCAACACAGTGTTGGCCACAGGTATTAAATATGCCTTTGTAAAGTGGAAACAGAGAGTTGCCAGGAACTTTGTATTGCAGGGAATTTTTCAACTTCATCCTAAGAGTTGTTTGAGCCGAAATAGGCATAGAGTGAACTGTCAGCATCAGTGGAACAGAGGATAATTCAATTTAGAATTTACACCTATGGGGGCGCACTACCAGCATTTCCCTGGTTTTCTTCGCCTTTTTTCTAGAGTAGGAGTCTTTGCTTTGGGGAGTTTCTAATGGGCATTGTCCATGTTTTTCTTCATGTACTTTTAGCATTGGAATTTGTATTGTACCGGGTTCTGCTTGTTGAATTAGGCATCTTCTGTATCCTTGCAGCATAAAATCTATGATGATATTCAAAATTTGCTCTATAGGGCGTAAGGCCCACGATAATGATTTGGGCTTTTTGGGTAATAGTGCTTGGACAGTCATTCCTAGTGGGGTTTTCCACTTTGATCTGAATACATGTTAAGAAACTGGCATTAATGGTATTTGGTTGCTTTTAAATAAAAGCTTTTGATAACATTTCTTCTGCATCTTGTGTAACACAGGTATTTCCTTCCCTGCCTCTTTTTTAGGACCCACTCCAAAGAGTCGCTTGTCATTGATTTATGGCTTGGGTGAAACAAAAACTTACAGATACACACATTTAAGAAGTGGCTGGTGTGTTTTTGTGTGAATATTAGTATGGGAGGGGGATAGTGATTGATCATTTGAACTTGCCATTCAGTTTGTAAAAATCGGCAAAGCAACAGTAACTTTTCCAAGTGTGGTGCGGATCAAAACAAACATAATAAGCTTCTGAGTTACTGTGTCTCACAGGGATTTGCTTTTAAGATATGTGATAAAAATCTCAGCGTCTTATTTTATTACAAATGGAAAATCCTGTAATGTGAACAAGTATTGGGTGATAGATTTATTTTTTAAATGCCATCTCTGCATGTCTAAGTGAAGCAACAGTATGTTAGTAAACACCATGTAGTTTCCTTCCACAGTGGTGACATGCCTTTCAAGTAGTCCTTGAAAGGAGCTCCATCACATGACCCATTCTTTTGCAAAAGTTTCCTATTGTGTGCTCTCACACATTCTTTTCCATTGCCATTCTGTGGCATGTTCCTCCTGGCCTCCCAGCCATCCCAGACTTACACATTTGCTAGCAGTTTTAAGTGCCTGACTAATCTTCCAGAGTTTCACTGGATTCTCTGAAGTCAACGGACTACACAAAGCCTTAAAATTAACCTATGCTTTAGAGTTACCCAGTGTCAGATATTAGGGATACTACTAAAGCAATCTTTTCTTTTTCTATAGGCATTTTTTATTAGAGCAGGTTTAGTATTTTAGCTGTCACTATATTATACTGTCACAGGAGTTTTCTAGACATTGTGTTAGTAATCAAACCCATTGAAAAGGAGAGCAAGCAGTTGTACCTTCAAAAGCTGATGTTCAGTAAATAAGATTTTTGCTTCTTGTTCACGACATCCAAAGATGGGTTGGTTGGGGTTTTTTCTTCAAGAGAGGAGGAGGAGTGGAGGATAGTTGTCACATTGCACTGATTGATGGTTTGCCTACTGTGATTAATGTGAACTTGTATTGGTATGTATGTGTCATCATTGGGATGATGTTACTCAAAGTAATCTTATCTCTGTGAAGAAAAAAGAAATAATTATTTGGAATAATTACCGGGGATACAAATAATGCATTTGTTTTTAATTTTTGAGCATGATACTAGAAATTTGTACTGGAGCTATCAGGTTCATAAATACTTCTGGGTTTCAATGTGCTAGACAAACCGAGTGGTGTCAGTACCAGGTTTAGATGTTTAAAAGATAAGACCTTCAGATATGATCAATTTTGTGAAAGATTGTAATTGACTAAATGTATGATGCAAACATCGAGTGCCCAAAAATGAATCTGTGTAAGACTTAATTGAAGAGATGGTATTATTTATTTAAATTTCCTACAAAGTCATTATAAAACAACTTGAAATTACAAAAATGGCAATTCTTGGACTGCATCTTGAATGTAAAATAAGATGTGCAACAGCATGCAGTGACTCAGTTTTAACCGAGTAGCCTTAGAAATGTCTTCAGAAACGTGTTTTAGTCTAGTTAAACTGTTTCCATTGCCAAATGTGTGTGTGGGTATGGGTATGTGTGCACTTGTGTATATAGTGGTTCTTGTGAGTGTACATTTGCTGTGTTTATTCTTAGTCTAGCTGCTTCATTGCTGTGATCTGCAATTACAGTTTTGGAAGTAGTTTTCCTATCTGTGCTGCTCCAAAGCACACTTGACTGTCCAAGCAGTGATTTGAATCCAGAAAGCACAGTTTGTAAATAACCTTCTTGCAGCTTCCACACTAGGACCAAGCTGGGGAGTGCTGCTGAAAGTCGGACTTACCAAAGCAGCCCATTTTGCCTGGAAGGAGAGGAGTGTATAGGACAGTGAGGAGCACAAACATGGGAAAACCCTTCAGGGGGCAGGTCATCGCACAGGTGCCCATCTCTTCACAGTTCTCTGAAACATCTGCTGGCCAGAATTAGATGGTACTAAAGAAGTAGTGGGTATTTTTAGGAGCAAAGAGAGAGGAGGCACTGCAAGGCTGTTGAGATAGCCTGTGATTCGGGTTATGTGACAGGGGAGCCACTCCTGCCTTTTCATCCACGTTTGCGAAAGACTAGGGACATGAAAGAAAATTGCAGGTAATTTTATGCATCACTTTATTAAAACAAACAAACAAAACAAAACAAGAAACAGCAACAAACAAGAAAAAATAACCACAACCAAAAAGCAAACAAGCAAAAAGAGAACCCCAAAAGTAATATGTTTGAAGACTGCATCATGCTCCATCAGCTGTACTAAGGGGTTAGGCTTAAGAAATAAGTGTTGGTGTGAATCATTTTGTGTAATGTTAGGTGGAAAAAATATTACGCAGCTATTCTTCATGTAGTGGTGACATGTTCCACCTCAACAAGAGCTGCTGCAACCTTCGAGCAGGCCTGGTGCCACTGCTGAAGACCCCAGTGCTCTGCCTTGTGTTTGAAAACAGAATCTTCTTCCAGGTCCCTGTAAAACCAGAAAGAAAGGATTTTGTCCTTTCTGAGTTAGGACTGTTTATATACGTGTGCAGCATTAGTCCTAAAATAGCACTGGTTTATAAAAATGTGGCATGGATTAATAGACAAAATATTAATATACAAAATAGGCTTTCCCTGCTTGATCAAACAAACAGTTCTAAGTTTATCAGGGTCTTGACTGGTTCCTTCTGCTCTTTCATCTGTCTTGCCTCTCTCTTCGCTGTCTTTCCTGGGGTCCTTGCTTTGCCCTTTCTCCTTCTGTATGCTTCTTATTGCATGTGGCATGTTGAACCCTGGTTTCTTGCTGAGATTTATTGCAGGACTGCTACTTGATGGTGAGTGTTGGCATGTTTCACCATTTTGGTGTGCTGTCATACAGGCACAGAACATATCAGCTTGTGTGAGTGTGTATGAGATAACTGATACACATTACCATTAGCATGGATTTAGATTTCCTTTCAATTGCATGAAAGTATTGGATCATCTGTATATCACTGGTTCATTGCCGTCTTTACAAAAAATTCCCTGATGAAGTGTTACAGTTCTCCAGTAAGCCACACTGTACTTTGTGCTAGAATGGCTGTATTACTGCTTGTGAGCATGCATGCATCCAGCCCCTTCTTTCATACCTCAGTATGAGGGAGGAGTAACTCTTAGAAGAGTTAGATAGTATTAAAACCAATGTTAGTGATGACTGGAGTTAAAATTA